AAGCAGCAGCCGGAGTTGGAACAGGGGCAGGAGCAGGAGTAGCAACAAGAACAGGAACAGGAACACGAGTGGGCCGGTGCACACCTCAAATGGCGGGGCAATAGCAGCTTCGCCCTCGGAGCTACAGATGAGTTTGGAGAATGTGATTCTCGGTGGGGATGCAGATGAGAAGGAGGTGGCGGGAGAAGAGGTGCAGAGGAGGGAGCTCAGTGTAGTGTGTCTGCATCGCAAGCGCAAGGCGGTGTTCATCCCGTGTGGCCACCGCGTGTGTTGTGTGTTCCAGGGTGGTGAGAGAGGAGCAGTCGCTGTGCCCCATTTGCCGCGGGCAGGTCTTGACCGCGTTTCTTGTGTATGATGTTTGAAATAGGTAGAGCTGTATGCATTCTGTTATGCGTGTTGTGTTGGGATTGTGTTATGGGAGGAGGTGGTGGGAGATGAGGTGCAGTGCAGGGTGGGGAGGGGAGGGGAGCTCTTGTCAGAATGTGATATTTGTCTAGCCTGCAGTGGGGTACTCTATAGCGAGTATAGCCCAAATTAGGGTTAGCTATATGCACTCAACTGCCTGCTAGTGCAAACCCCTCTTTTCTTGTTTCTCATTCCTGCCTAGACTTGCTGACATGCTACCAGAGCAGGTCGACCCTCCTGGGTCGATCCTGTGGGTGGTCCCACCCGATGCTTCCGCTGCTGTCCTGCCTATCGCACGCCCTGGGCGCGCTATGTTTCCTGCCTGCCGCGCGCTCCGGGCGCGCGGCGTTTTTTCAACCCGCCGCGCGCTCGGGGCGCGCGGCGGTTTTCTGCCCCGTCGACCCGCGTGTCGCCCCCCGTCGACGGTCGCGTCGCCCCCCGGGAGCCCGTCGCGTCGCCCCGCAACCCGCGCGCGGCCCTCGCTCCCACGTCGCGACGCCCTGGGGAGCCGCTCGCGGCCCCCCGCTGCCCCGTCGCGGCGCCCTGGGGAGCCGCGCGCGGCCCCCGCTGCCCCGTCGCGACGCCCTGGGGAGCCGCGCGCCGCCCCCCCGCTGCCCCGTCGCGGCGCCCTGGGGAGCCGCGCGCGGCCCCCGCTGCCCCGTCGCGGCGCCCTTGGGAGCCGCGCGCCGTCCCCCGAGCTGCTGCCCGCGCACCACCCCCCGCTGCTGCCCGCGCTCCTGCCCCGTGCTGCCTGTGTTAGGGTTTGGGGGTGGCGAGTGTGGGGGTGGCGAGTATGGGGGTGCGTCGTCCCCTGCTCCTCCTCCTCCTCCGTCTCCCACTGCTGCAGCTGCCGCTGAGGGGGGTGGATGTGTTGGAGCCGTCGGAGTGGTACGAGGGGGGTGGCGTGTGAGCAGTGCTAGAGGTACAGCAGGGGGTGTGTGAAAGGGGTGTGGGACAGCTGGGGGAAGTTGAGTGGAGGCAGCCGTCTTGTCGTCCGCAGCGCCTGTAGTCCAGAGAGCCAGCTGCGTCTGTGGCCGTGTAGTCCGGGGCTCTGCGCCTGGTAGCCACAGTGTGAGCACTCCTGGTAGTCCAGAGAGCCAGCTGCGTCTGTGGCCGTGTAGTCCGGGGCTCTGCGCTTGGTAGCCACAGTGTGAGCACTCCTGGTAGCGCAGAGAGCCAGCTGCGCCTGTCTCCGTGTAGTCCGGGGCTCTGCGCCTGGTAGCGACAGTGCTGCGCGCTCTTGTTGCCCGTGTGTCTGCAGCTTCAGCCGTCGCCTCCCATCCTCTCGCCCCCACAGTTTCTCCTCCTCCTCACTTGCCCTCTGCGATAGCCTCTAGCTTTGCTTATCATTGTGAACTATTGCTCTGCCTGCTTGTTGTGCTGATTATACCCCACTTTGACTATGGGGGTGTGTCAGAATGTGATATTTGTCTAGCCTGCAGTGGGGTACTCTATAGCGAGTATAGCCCAAATTAGGGTTAGCTATATGTACTCAACTGCCTGCTAGTGCAAACCCCTCTTTTCTTGTTTCTCATTCCTGCCTAGCCTTTCTGACAGCTCTGTGTCTGCATCGCAAGCGCAAGGCAGTGTTCATCGTGTGTGGCCACTACATGTGCTGCCTGCTGTGTTCGCGGGTTGTTGTGAGTGTGGAGCAGTCGCTGTGTCCCATACGCCGCGGGGAGGTGTTGGCTGTGTTTCGTGTGTATGCTGCTTGATTGAAATGAAACACTATGTGAGTACCGTATGTAATGGTACCGTAACATGGATTGAGAAGTTCACGTGTTGAGTATGTTTTTAGTCGTTAATGTTTTGTATGGGTTGTAGCCTGCCTGCATGCTAAAACAACAGTAATATATGCTGCGCAAGATAAAGAAGAAGATGGCACCGAGGAGGAAGAGGAGGAGGACCTTGATGAGGACGTGGTTGCACCGGTGAGGATGTCGACTGATGTCTCGGAGAACATGTCCTTGCGAGGGACCACTGGTGACAACAATGGATTTGTGGGGAGAGATGGCATGGCACCGAGGGGGAAGAGGAGGAGGAGGACACTGATGAGGACGTGGTGTCAGAATGTTATAATTGTCTAGTCTGCAGTGGGGTACTCTATAGTGAGTACAACCCTGTTGGGTTTGCTATATGTACTGCCCTGCTTACTAGTGCAACCCTCTTTCCTGTCATAACTTTCTGCTCGCTATTTTGACATGCTATCAGAGCAGGTCGACCCTCCTGGGTCGATCCTGTGGGTGGGCCCACCTGATGCTTCCGCTGCTGTTCTGCTTCTCGCGCGCCTCGGGCGCGCGACGTTTTCTGCCTCCCGCGCGCTCGGAAGGCGCGGCGTTTTTAGGGTTTCTAGGGTTTTCTGCCCGTCGCGCCGCCCTGCTCACCGCGCGACGCCCTGCCCTGCCCGTCGCGGCGCCCTTGGGGCCCGCGCGCAGCCCCCCCCCTCCCGTCGCCCGTCGCGGCGCCCTGGGGGCCCGCGCGCGGCCCTCTCCCGTCGCCCGTCGCGGCGCCCTGGGGGCCCGCGCGCGGCCCTCCCTCCCGTCGCCCATCGCGGCGCCCTGGGGGCCCGCGCGCGGCCCTCTCCCGTCGCCCGTCGCGGCGCCCCGGGGGCCCGCGCGCGCCCCCCTCCTCCCGTCGCCCGTCGTGGCGCCCCGGGGGATCGCGCGCCTGCCCTATCCGCGCCCGTTGCGCCTGCCCTCTCGCGCCCGTTGCGCTTGCCCTTCCGTCGCGACGCCGCCCGCCCTCCCCCCCCCCCACCCCCCCCCCCCCCCCCCCTCCTCCTTTGACTTCCAGTTGCGCGTGCAGCCGGGTGGCGGGTATGGGGGTGGTTGGTGTGCATCATCCGCTGCTCCTCCTCCTCCTTCGTCTCCCACTGCTGCACCTGCCGTTGAGGGGGGTGGATGTGTTGGAGCCGTCGGAGTGGTACGAGGGGGGTGGCGTGTGAGCAGTGCTAGAGGTACAGCAAGGGGTGTGTGAAAGGGGTGTGGGACAACTGGGGGAAATTGAGTGGAGGCAGCCGTCTTGTCGTCCGCAGCGCCTGTAGTCCAGAGAGCCAGCTGCGTGTGTGGCCGTGTAGTCCGGGGCTCTGCGCCTGGTAGCCACAGTGTGAGCACTCCTGGTATTCCGGAGAGCCAGCTGCGTCTGTGGCCGTGTAGTCCGGGGCTCTGCGCCTGGTAGCCACAGTGTGAGCACTCCTGATAGAACAGAGAGCCAGCTGCGCCTGTCGCCGTGTAGTCCGAGGTTTAGCCTGGTAGCGACAGTGCTGCGCGCTCCTGTTGCCCGTGTGTTTGCAGCTTCAGCCGTCGCCTCCCATCTTCTCGCCCGCACAGTTTCTCCTCCTCCTCACTTGTCCTCTGTGATAGCCTCTAGCTTTGCTTGTCAGTGTGAACTATTTCTCTGCCTCCTTGTTGTGCTGATTATACCCCACTTTGACTATGGGGGTGTGTCAGAATGTCATATTTGTCTAGTCTGCAGTGGGGTTCTCTATAGTGAGTACAACCCTGTTAGGGTTTGCTATATGTACTGCCCTGCTTACTAGTGCAACCCTCTTTCCTGTCATAACTTTCTGCTCGCTATTTTGACACGTGGTTGCATCGATGAGGATGTCGACTAATGTCTCGGAGGACATGTCCTTGCGAGGGACCACTGGTGACAACAATGGATTTGTGGGGAGAGATGGCATGGCACCGAGGGGGAAGAGGAGGAGGAGGATATTGATGAGGACGTGGTTGCATCGATGAGGATGTCGACTAATGTCTCGGAAGACATGTCCTTGCGAGGGACCACTGGTGACAACAATGGGTTTGTGGGGAGAGATGGCATGGCACCGAGGGGGAAGAGGAGGACCTTCATGAGGACGTGGTGGCAGCTGCAGACGCTGTGACTCCACCCCTGATGACCCCTACCCCAATACCAAGCACTACAGAGGAGCAACAGCAGAAGACAAGCTCGTGGGGCCAGCAGAGACTGCCGTGCCGCACATGCATGGACTGTAAGGTAGCAGGAGTAGGTAGCATTTGATGGCCCCGAATCAGGTGTTAGAGTGACAGAGGCAGAAGGTTTGACTGCTGTTTGAACTTGTGTAGACTGAATGCGGTAGTGCGTCTTAGAAATACTTGATTTCGCTAGGTCTTAGATAGTTTTATGCTAGAAAAAGCCCCTGTATTCTGTTTATAAGATACTCAGGTGGGTGCCTTATCTGTACACGCAGAGGGTTCTCTTACAAACAGAAATTCTTTCTATAGAGAAACACCCATATTAAAGACATCTATGTCGTCAATTCAACACTGTCTTCTATCCGGGTACTGCTACCGCACCAAAAAGAGCGATAAGAAAAGGGAGATCCAAACCTGCTTGATGATAAGAGAAAGAAAAGGAAAGCACATAGGACACAACAGAGGAAACAATTATCAAGATAGATGGACTTGGGCAGAGGGTGAAATGCATAGTCAAATGAGTCATTGCGATGGCCGTTTGATGAAATGTAAAGTGCATCACTGACATGGTATAATGAAATGTGAAGTGCGTCTGATCTACATACTTGATCTACAAAATGCATGATACAGATTGATTTACATGATTGACCAACCACTCACGTATATGCGAATGCAGCAGCATTTGCATCCGTAGGAGCTTCGAACTCCGTATCGGTGGCCGGCGTGCAGTCATCCGACTCATACCATCTGAACGAGGCACAGCTTGGACCACCATCGATGTTAAACGTTTGGTATATCGCCCTGAAATTCCCAGCCAACCCCTCGGGAAGCGGATTGCAGCCATATGTTGCGCGGAAAGTGTAGGGCTTGGACGCATTGTCTTTGGCGCTGATATCCCGCACGAGTGTGATGCTGGTGGCAAGCACTTGGTCAGGTGCACCTGAGAATGGATGGCACAAGCACAAGGGGAAACACGGAGCAAGGACAGGAGGGAACAAGAAGAAAATGTGGTGGATTGGATGGCACAACCAGAAGGAAACGTGGATCAAGGACGGGAGAGAAACGTGATGTTATGAATCGGGAGGGGAAAACAAAAGCTGACACGCGCACAGATTGTCTGCCGCATGTTGAAGCTACTGCCACCTCGTCCGCCCTCATCAACCGCAGGGGCGCATGCAGCATGTAATCAATGGAGAGGATAAAACAGGGTGTGATTGAATCTTACCCTGGATGCATTCTGTTGGAGTCATCCCATAGCCTGTAGGGCACTCGCAGTGTGGCACATCCACATCATAGTACGGAGGTATATGGATGGTTTTGCAGGTGGCACCAGTAGGGCATGTGCCACAGGGTGAGTCTGAGCAACACAGCAGCACGCAAGGCAGACACAGCACGCAAGGCAGACACAGCACGCAAGGCAGACACACGGTACGGGTAGAGCAGAGGGACGGGGAAATGAGCACGGAAAATGGGCCAGCTTCACACAAATGAGGAGAAAAGTGCGCCAAATGGTATAGAGACAGTGGTGAGATTTTAGGCGCCTAAATAAGCCTCACACAAATGTGGAGTGAAGTGTGTAACGATAGAGGTGGTGGAGATAGAGGCTGAGTGCGGTGCGGATGGGCTGGGCTGGGTGTAGAGAAAGCTGGAGCCATGCTTACTCCATTTGCACGAGCGAACTCCATTGGTGTTCACACAAACCCCATCCGGTTCGCAACCCAACTCGCTGCAAGCTTTGTCTGATGTGAGAGTGCGGAAGGATGGGGTGGAAGAGAGGGTTTGTAAAAATCGGAGCGGGGGGGAAGGGGGGGGAGGGGGGGGGGAGTGGGGGTGATGCTCGAAGGAAGAAAGAAATACAGGTGGCACATGCATACTCAACTATGGAGATGCAACGAAAGGCATAGACGCACAGAGCGCAGGAGAGGGAAGGAGAGAGAAAATCAAGAAGAAGGCGCAGGAGAGCGCATGAGAGAGAGGGAGGTACCAAAAGCAACGTACCTACGCAAGCGCCATTGATTTGAGAAAAGCCCTCGTCGCATGCACAGGTGACGCCCTTGCCGCCACTCGTTAGGGTGCATGTGGAGTTGCTCGGACACTTGGTGTTCTCACAGGTGACGTCTGGCATGGGGGGGGGGGAGAGGAGAGGGAGAGGGGAAGGGGTGGGGAGGGTGGTGACGCCCTTGCTGTCATTCGATAGGGTGCATGTGGAATTGCTCGGACACATGCAGTTGCTCGCAGGTGACGTCTGCCCGGGCACAGTAAGTGAAAGCACATCCACGAGTTGATGGAGGTATGCAAGAAGCTCGTTTTCAGAGAGGAGATGCAACAGATTTGTGTAAGGTGGCAATGAGGAAGGCAGGCAGGTTGGCATGATGGTAAGGTGGCATGGTGATAAGGTGGAATGATGGTAAAGTGACATGAGAATAAGGTGACATAAGAATAAGGTGACATGAGAATAAGGTGGCATGAGAATAAGGTGGCATGAGAATAAGGTGACATGAGAATAAGGTGGCATGAGAATAAGGTGACATGAGAATAAGGTGGCATGAGAATAAGGTGGCATGAGAATAAGGTGGCATGAGAATAAGGTGGCATGAGAATAAGGTGACATGAGAATAAGGTGGCGTGAGAATAAGGTGACATGAGAATAAGGTGGCATGAGAATAAGGTGGCATGAGAATAAGGTGGCATGAGAATAAGGTGGCATGAGAATAAGGTGGCATGAGAATAAGGTGGCATGAGAATAAGGTGGCATGAGAATAAGGTGACATGAGAATAAGGTGGCATGAGAATAAGGTGGCATGAGAATAAGGTGGCATGAGAATAAGGTGGCATGAGAATAAGGTGGCATGAGAATAAGGTGACATGAGAATAAGTGCTGAATAAGGTGACATGAGAATAAGGTGGCATGAGAATAAGGTGACATGAGAATAAGGTGGCATGAGAAAAAGGTGACATGAGAATAAGGTGGCATGAGAATAAGGTGGCATGAGAATAAGGTGGCATGAGAATAAGGTGGCATGAGAATAAGGTGACATGAGAATAAGGTGGCATGAGAATAAGGTGGCATGAGAATAAGGTGGCATGAGAATAAGGTGGCATGAGAATAAGGTGGCATGAGAAAAAGGTGACATGAGAATAAGGTGGCATGAGAATAAGGTGGCATGAGAATAAGGTGGCATGAGAATAAGGTGGCATGAGAATAAGGTGGCATGAGAATAAGGTGGCATGAGAATAAGGTGGCATGAGAATAAGGTGGCATGAGAATAAGGTGGCATGAGAATAAGGTGGCATGAGAATAAGGTGGCATGAGAATAAGGTGGCATGAGAATAAGGTGGCATGAGAATAAGGTGGCATGAGAATAAGGTGGCATGAGAATAAGGTGGCATGAGAATAAGGTGGCATGAGAATAAGGTGACATGAGATAGTAAGGTGCATGAGAATAGGGGCATGAGAATAAGGTGGCATGAGAATAAGGTGGCATGAGAATAAGGTGGCATGAGAATAAGGTGGCATGAGAATAAGGTGGCATGAGAATAAGGTGACATGAGAATAAGGTGACATGAGAATAAGGTGGCATGAGAATAAGGTGGCATGAGAATAAGGTGGCATGAGAATAAGGTGGCATGAGAATAAGGTGGCATGAGAATAAGGTGGCATGAGAATAAGGTGGCATGAGAATAAGGTGGCATGAGAATAAGGTGGCATGAGAATAAGGTGGCATGAGAATAAGGTGGCATGAGAATAAGGTGGCATGAGAATAAGGTGGCATGAGAATAAGGTGGCATGAGAATAAGGTGGCATGAGAATAAGGTGGCATGAGAATAAGGTGGCATGAGAATAAGGTGGCATGAGAATAAGGTGGCATGAGAATAAGGTGGCATGAGAATAAGGTGGCATGAGAATAAGGTGGCATGAGAATAAGGTGGCATGAGAATAAGGTGGCATGAGAATAAGGTGGCATGAGAATAAGGTGGCATGAGAATAAGGTGGCATGAGAATAAGGTGACATGAGAATAAGGTGGCATGAGAATAAGGTGGCATGAGAATAAGGTGGCATGAGAATAAGGTGACATGAGAATAAGGTGGCATGAGAATAAGGTGACATGAGAATAAGGTGGCATGAGAATAAGGTGGCATGAGAATAAGGTGGCATGAGAATAAGGTGGCATGAGAATAAGGTGGCATGAGAATAAGGTGGCATGAGAATAAGGTGGCATGAGAATAAGGTGGCATGAGAATAAGGTGGCATGAGAATAAGGTGGCATGAGAATAAGGTGGCATGAGAATAAGGTGGCATGAGAATAAGGTGGCATGAGAATAAGGTGGCATGAGAATAAGGTGGCATGAGAATAAGGTGGCATGAGAATAAGGTGACATGAGAATAAGGTGGCATGAGAATAAGGTGGCATGAGAATAAGGTGGCATGAGAATAAGGTGACATGAGAATAAGGTGGCATGAGAATAAGGTGACATGAGAATAAGGTGCATGAGAATAAGGTGGCATGAGAATAAGGTGGCATGAGAATAAGGTGGCATGAGAATAAGGTGGCATGAGAATAAGGTGGCATGAGAATAAGGTGGCATGAGAATAAGGTGGCATGAGAATAAGGTGGCATGAGAATAAGGTGGCATGAGAATAAGGTGGCATGAGAATAAGGTGGCATGAGAATAAGGTGGCATGAGAATAAGGTGGCATGAGAATAAGGTGACATGAGAATAAGGTGACATGAGAATAAGGTGGCATGAGAATAAGGTGACATGAGAATAAGGTGACATGAGAATAAGGTGGCATGAGAAGGTGGCATGAGAATAAGGTGGCATGAGAATAAGGTGGCATGAGAATAAGGTGGCATGAGAATAAGGTGGCATGAGAATAAGGTGGCATGAGAATAAGGTGGCATGAGAATAAGGTGGCAAGAGAATAAGGTGGCATGAGAATAAGGTGGCATGAGAATAAGGTGGCATGAGAATAAGGTGGCATGAGAATAAGGTGGCATGAGAATAAGGTGGCATGAGAATAAGGTGGCATGAGAATAAGGTGGCATGAGAATAAGGTGGCATGAGAATAAGGTGACATGAGAATAAGGTGGCATGAGAATAAGGTGGCATGAGAATAAGGTGGCATGAGAATAAGGTGGCATGAGAATAAGGTGGCATGAGAATAAGGTGGCATGAGAATAAGGTGGCATGAGCAAAAGGTGACATGAGAATAAGGTGGCATGAGAATAAGGTGGCATGAGAATAAGGTGGCATGAGAATAAGGTGGCATGAGAATAAGGTGGCATGAGAATAAGGTGGCATGAGAATAAGGTGGCATGAGAATAAGGTGACATGAGAATAAGGTGGCATGAGAATAAGGTGGCATGAGAATAAGGTGGCATGAGAATAAGGTGGCATGAGAATAAGGTGGCATGAGAATAAGGTGACATGAGAATAAGGTGGCATGAGAATAAGGTGGCATGAGAATAAGGTGGCATGAGAATAAGGTGGCATGAGAATAAGGTGGCATGAGAATAAGGTGGCATGAGAATAAGGTGGCATGAGAATAAGGTGGCATGAGAATAAGGTGACATGAGAATAAGGTGACATGAGAATAAGGTGACATGAGAATAAGGTGGCATGAGAATAAGGTGGCAAGAGAATAAGGTGGCATGAGAATAAGATGGCATGAGAATAAGGTGGCATGAGAATAAGGTGGCATGAGAATATGGTGGCATGAGAATAAGGTGGCATGAGAATAAGGTGGCAAGAGAATAAGGTGGCATGAGAATAAGGTGGCATGAGAATAAGGTGGCATGAGAATAAGGTGGCATGAGAATAAGGTGGCATGAGAATAAGGTGGCATGAGAATAAGGTGGCATGAGAATAAGGTGGCATGAGAATAAGGTGGCATGAGAATAAGGTGGCATGAGAATAAGGTGGCATGAGAATAAGGTGGCATGAGAATAAGGTGGCATGAGAATAAGGTGGCATGAGAATAAGGTGGCATGAGAATAAGGTGGCATGAGAATAAGGTGGCATGAGAATAAGGTGGCATGAGAATAAGGTGGCATGAGAATAAGGTGGCATGAGAATAAGGTGGCATGAGAATAAGGTGGCATGAGAATAAGGTGGCATGAGAATAAGGTGGCATGAGAATAAGGTGGCATGAGAATAAGGTGGCATGAGAATAAGGTGGCATGAGAATAAGGTGGCATGAGAATAAGGTGGCATGAGAATAAGGTGGCATGAGAATAAGGTGGCATGAGAATAAGGTGGCATGAGAATAAGGTGGCATGAGAATAAGGTGGCATGAGAATAAGGTGGCATGAGAATAAGGTGGCATGAGAATAAGGTGGCATGAGAATAAGGTGACATGAGAATAAGGTGCCATGAGAATAAGGTGGCATGAGAATAAGGTGGCATGAGAATAAGGTGGCATGAGAATAAGGTGGCATGAGAATAAGGTGGCATGAGAATAAGGTGAGGTGGCATGAGAATAAGGTGGCATGAGAATAAGGTGGCATGAGAATAAGGTGGCATGAGAATAAGGTGGCATGAGAATAAGGTGGCATGAGAATAAGGTGACATGAGAATAAGGTGGCATGAGAATAAGGTGGCATGAGAATAAGGTGGCATGAGAATAAGGTGGCATGAGAATAAGGTGGCATGAGAATAAGGTGACATGAGAATAAGGTGACATGAGAATAAGGTGGCATGAGAATAAGGTGGCATGAGAATAAGGTGACATGAGAATAAGGTGGCATGAGAATAAGGTGGCATGAGAATAAGGTGGCATGAGAATAAGGTGGCATGAGAATAAGGTGGCATGAGAATAAGGTGGCATGAGAATAAGGTGGCATGAGAATAAGGTGACATGAGAATAAGGTGACATGAGAATAAGGTGGCATGAGAATAAGGTGGCATGAGAATAAGGTGACATGAGAATAAGGTGGCATGAGAATAAGGTGGCATGAGAATAAGGTGACATGAGAATAAGGTGGCATGAGAATAAGGTGGCATGAGAATAAGGTGGCATGAGAATAAGGTGGCATGAGAATAAGGTGGCATGAGAATAAGGTGGCATGAGAATAAGGTGGCATGAGAATAAGGTGGCATGAGAATAAGGTGGCATGAGAATAAGGTGACATGAGAATAAGGTGGCATGAGAATAAGGTGGCATGAGAATAAGGTGACATGAGAATAAGGTGGCATGAGAATAAGGTGGCATGAGAATAAGGTGGCATGAGAATAAGGTGGCATGAGAATAAGGTGACATGAGAATAAGGTGGCATGAGAATAAGGTGGCATGAGAATAAGGTGGCATGAGAATAAGGTGGCATGAGAATAAGGTGGCATGAGAATAAGGTGGCATGAGAATAAGGTGGCATGAGAATAAGGTGGCATGAGAATAAGGTGGCATGAGAATAAGGTGGCATGAGAATAAGGTGGCATGAGAATAAGGTGGCATGAGAATAAGGTGACATGAGAATAAGGTGACATGAGAATAAGGTGACATGAGAATAAGGTGGCATGAGAATAAGGTGGCATGAGAATAAGGTGGCATGAGAATAAGGTGGCATGAGAATAAGGTGGCATGAGAATAAGGTGGCATGAGAATAAGGTGGCATGAGAATAAGGTGGCATGAGAATAAGGTGGCATGAGAATAAGGTGACATGAGAATAAGGTGACATGAGAATAAGGTGGCATGAGAATAAGGTGGCATGAGAATAAGGTGACATGAGAATAAGGTGGCATGAGAATAAGGTGGCATGAGAATAAGGTGACATGAGAATAAGGTGGCATGAGAATAAGGTGGCATGAGAATAAGGTGGCATGAGAATAAGGTGGCATGAGAATAAGGTGGCATGAGAATAAGGTGGCATGAGAATAAGGTGGCATGAGAATAAGGTGGCATGAGAATAAGGTGGCATGAGAATAAGGTGACATGAGAATAAGGTGGCATGAGAATAAGGTGGCATGAGAATAAGGTGACATGAGAATAAGGTGGCATGAGAATAAGGTGGCATGAGAATAAGGTGGCATGAGAATAAGGTGGCATGAGAATAAGGTGACATGAGAATAAGGTGGCATGAGAATAAGGTGGCATGAGAATAAGGTGGCATGAGAATAAGGTGGCATGAGAATAAGGTGGCATGAGAATAAGGTGGCATGAGAATAAGGTGGCATGAGAATAAGGTGGCATGAGAATAAGGTGGCATGAGAATAAGGTGGCATGAGAATAAGGTGGCATGAGAATAAGGTGGCATGAGAATAAGGTGACATGAGAATAAGGTGACATGAGAATAAGGTGGCATGAGAATAAGGTGGCATGAGAATAAGGTGGCATGAGAATAAGGTGGCATGAGAATAAGGTGGCATGAGAATAAGGTGGCATGAGAATAAGGTGGCATGAGAATAAGGTGGCATGAGAATAAGGTGGCATGAGAATAAGGTGGCATGAGAATAAGGTGGCATGAGAATAAGGTGGCATGAGAATAAGGTGGCATGAGAATAAGGTGGCATGAGAATAAGGTGGCATGAGAATAAGGTGGCATGAGAATAAGGTGGCATGAGAATAAGGTGGCATGAGAATAAGGTGGCATGAGAATAAGGTGACATGAGAATAAGGTGGCATGAGAATAAGGTGGCATGAGAATAAGGTGGCATGAGAATAAGGTGGCATGAGAATAAGGTGGCATGAGAATAAGGTGACATGAGAATAAGGTGACATGAGAATAAGGTGGCATGAGAATAAGGTGGCATGAGAATAAGGTGGCATGAGAATAAGGTGGCATGAGAATAAGGTGGCATGAGAATAAGGTGGCATGAGAATAAGGTGGCATGAGAATAAGGTGGCATGAGAATAAGGTGGCATGAGAATAAGGTGGCATGAGAATAAGGTGACATGAGAATAAGGTGACATGAGAATAAGGTGGCATGAGAATAAGGTGGCATGAGAATAAGGTGGCATGAGAATAAGGTGGCATGAGAATAAGGTGGCATGAGAATAAGGTGGCATGAGAATAAGGTGGCATGAGAATAAGGTGGCATGAGAATAAGGTGACATGAGAATAAGGTGGCATGAGAATAAGGTGGCATGAGAATAAGGTGACATGAGAATAAGGTGGCATGAGAATAAGGTGGCATGAGAATAAGGTGGCATGAGAATAAGGTGACATGAGAATAAGGTGGCATGAGAATAAGGTGACATGAGAATAAGGTGGCATGAGAATAAGGTGGCATGAGAATAAGGTGGCATGAGAATAAGGTGGCATGAGAATAAGGTGGCATGAGAATAAGGTGGCATGAGAATAAGGTGGCATGAGAATAAGGTGGCATGAGAATAAGGTGGCATGAGAATAAGGTGGCATGAGAATAAGGTGGCATGAGAATAAGGTGGCATGAGAATAAGGTGGCATGAGAATAAGGTGGCATGAGAATAAGGTGGCATGAGAATAAGGTGACATGAGAATAAGGTGACATGAGAATATGGTGGCATGAGAATAAGGTGACATGAGAATAAGGTGACATGAGAATAAGGTGGCATGAGAATAAGGTGGCATGAGAATAAGGTGACATGAGAATAAGGTGGCATGAGAATAAGGTGGCATGAGAATAAGGTGGCATGAGAATAAGGTGACATGAGAATAAGGTGACATGAGAATAAGGTGGCATGAGAATAAGGTGGCATGAGAATAAGGTGGCATGAGAATAAGGTGGCATGAGAATAAGGTGACATGAGAATAAGGTGACATGAGAATATGGTGGCATGAGAATAAGGTGACATGAGAATAAGGTGACATGAGAATAAGGTGGCATGAGAATAAGGTGGCATGAGAATAAGGTGACATGAGAATAAGGTGGCATGAGAATAAGGTGGCATGAGAATAAGGTGACATGAGAATAAGGTGACATGAGAATATGGTGGCATGAGAATAAGGTGACATGAGAATAAGGTGACATGAGAATAAGGTGGCATGAGAATAAGGTGGCATGAGAATAAGGTGACATGAGAATAAGGTGGCATGAGAATAAGGTGGCATGAGAATAAGGTGGCATGAGAATAAGGTGACATGAGAATAAGGTGACATGAGAATAAGGTGGCATGAGAAGGTGGCATGAGAATAAGGTGGCATGAGAATAAGGTGGCATGAGAATAAGGTGACATGAGAATAAGGTGACATGAGAATAAGGTGACATGAGAATAAGGTGGCATGAGAATAAGGTGGCAAGAGAATAAGGTGGCATGAGAATAAGGTGGCATGAGAATAAGGTGGCATGAGAATAAGGTGGCATGAGAATAAGGTGGCATGAGAATAAGGTGGCATGAGAATAAGGTGGCATAGAGGCATGAGAATAAGGTGGCATGAGAATAAGGTGGCATGAGAATAAGGTGGCATGAGAATAAGGTGGCATGAGAATAAGGTGGCATGAGAATAAGGTGGCATGAGAATAAGGTGGCATGAGAATAAGGTGGCATGAGAATAAGGTGGCATGAGAATAAGGTGGCATGAGAATAAGGTGGCATGAGAATAAGGTGGCATGAGAATAAGGTGGCATGAGAATAAGGTGGCATGAGAATAAGGTGGCATGAGAATAAGGTGGCATGAGAATAAGGTGGCATGAGAATAAGGTGGCATGAGAATAAGGTGGCATGAGAATAAGGTGGCATGAGAATAAGGTGGCATGAGAATAAGGTGGCATGAGAATAAGGTGGCATGAGAATAAGGTGGCATGAGAATAAGGTGGCATGAGAATAAGGTGGCATGAGAATAAGGTGGCATGAGAATAAGGTGGCATGAGAATAAGGTGGCATGAGAATAAGGTGGCATGAGAATAAGGTGGCATGAGAATAAGGTGGCATGAGAATAAGGTGGCATGAGAATAAGGTGGCATGAGAATAAGGTGGCATGAGAATAAGGTGGCATGAGAATAAGGTGGCATGAGAATAAGGTGGCATGAGAATAAGGTGGCATGAGAATAAGGTGGCATGAGAATAAGGTGGCATGAGAATAAGGTGGCATGAGAATAAGGTGACATGAGAATAAGGTGGCATGAGAATAAGGTGGCATGAGAATAAGGTGACATGAGAATAAGGTGGCATGAGAATAAGGTGGCATGAGAATAAGGTGGCATGAGAATAAGGTGGCATGAGAATAAGGTGGCATGAGAATAAGGTGGCATGAGAATAAGGTGGCATGAGAATAAGGTGGCATGAGAATAAGGTGGCATGAGAATAAGGTGGCATGAGAATAAGGTGGCATGAGAATAAGGTGGCATGAGAATAAGGTGGCATGAGAATAAGGTGGCATGAGAATAAGGTGGCATGAGAATAAGGTGGCATGAGAATAAGGTGGCATGAGAATAAGGTGGCATGAGAATAAGGTGGCATGAGAATAAGGTGGCAAGAGAATAAGGTGGCATGGTAAGGTGGTAAGGCACGCACCAGCATGGCAGGAAACAGAAGTCCATCGGGCGACCTTCTTTATGCTGCAAGGACGTGAGAAGCACGTTCAGATGAGAAGCACGTTCAGATGAGAAGCACGTTCAGATGAGAAGCACGTTCAGATGAGAAGCACGTTCAGATGAGACGTTAGGAACACGTTCAGACGAGACACGCGAGAAACACGTTCAGATGAGACATCAGGCACACGTTCAGATGAGAAGTTAGAACACGTTCAGATGAAAAGCTAGGAACACGTTCAATGAGACACTGAATGAGGCGTTAGGATCACGATACGAACACGAGAACGCACACTCATCATCGGCTGCTGCTCCCATGACCCACCTGCCCCCATCACCCACGTGCTCCCATGACCCACCTGCCCCCATCACCCACGTGGCCCCACGACCCACCTGGGCACGTGGGATTGGTATATGGCTCTCACGCACGCACCTAGGCACGTCACCCATCTGCCCCCACGACCCACCTGGGAACATTGAAGAATTTGCGCAGAAGGGAGTAATGCGGCTTGAGCACCTCACCCAGCGCCTTGCCCTTGCAGGCGGATTGGGCAAAGAACCGCACATGCTTGCACACTGCACCTGCCAACTGCTTCCCACTGCCGCCCTTGCGCCCGTGCCACCACACCTGCACGCTCTGCTGCGCCACGTGCGCTGCTCGCGGAAGGGTGAAGCAGCGGAGCGCCCCTGCACCGCCGAAGCTGACGGGTGGGATGGGAGCAGAGGGGTGGGAGGGAGCAGAGGGGTGGGAGGGAGCAGAGGAGTGAGAAGAACTGTCGACATTGTGAGGAGGTCAGGAGTTGTGAGAAATGCAGCCGAATATAAAACGAGAAAGAAACGACTCACCGCAGATGACGGCAAGAACGAGGAGCGGAAGCAGCGCGGCAGGAGATGTGGCCATAATGCCTGCCGTTCAGGTCGGTGATTCTTTCGTGTGTCAGCTGGGTAACTCTTTCGCGACGGCGTTTGTTCGTGTCAGCTGGGTAACTCTTTCGCGAAGGTGTCGCTCTTGTCCGCTGGGTAACTATTTCGCGACGGTGCTGGGTGATTCTTGCGCGACGGTGCAGCACGATGCTGTGGTACAGCCGATACAGGCACTATAGTGCACTGCTGGTTTACTAGCTGGAGGTATCGTAGTTGTAAGGGTGGTTAGCCGCTGTTCAAGTATCTATCTGCCTATGTCTTCGACCAAGGAGTAGTAGTGAAAAGAGAGGAGCTGTGAATGACGACCTCATGTGGGGAACCTACAGTTATATAATGGTGGGGCTGGAAACTAAGGAGCTGTGGGAGGAATGCGTGAGGAAAGCGGGAAAAACGGCCCTGAATTTGTACAACCGCAACCGAACCGTATTCGGTGCGGATGTGAAAGTGAGTTTCGCTTCAGGTGACAGTTACCGAATTTGGTTCCGCGTGCGGCTCGAGATGAAACGCGGACGACGCGTTACAAGAGCCGCACACCACATTTTCGAAATGCTTAGATTGAGCTGGTTTGAATTAGAATGTACTTCTCTGTTTTTACCGAAAACTGTCTTTGAATAATCAGCAAGTTCTCCTGTCGTACATTCATTCCAACGTCAGCCGGAGGCTATACGGATATTAAGAGCTGGTAACAGAGCTTGGTTGTCGTCACGTCAAGCCTCTTACTGGTGTAAAAGGTGATGTAAATTAGCCTTCGAGGGGTTGGATGCTGGAGGAGGTGGTATGCAATGGGTGTTCATTCTTTAGGGGCTGTACTAACCATTCTGTTTGTTGTGCGCTCGCTTTGACCATCGTCCTGTGAACGTTTAATTACGCCTTTTAACACCCTTAACGTTCTAAAAAAATCTCAATCCCACTGGGAATCAAATCGCCCCAGCTGCCCAGCTGCCAACTCTCTATTACTCTCCCTTGCCTCCCTCATGCGCAGGCCCCCCTGCCAACAGCAGCCACTCCTCCGTCTGTTCCAACCCCATGAAGATAGCAGCCCATTCCTCCCTCCCTGCCTCCAGCACCTCCTCCCCAATCGGACCCAACCTAGCCGAACCATTCCGACATGAGAAAATTCTACAAGCCACGCACGTTGCGCGGATCAAGCAAATCACACCAAGCTTCTTTCTCCTAGCAGCTTTCGCCTCCCTCACTGCCTCCTGCACCCTCTGCCTCCCGCATCTGCCCCAGCCCGCGCCTCCCCACCAGCTTCACCCCGAACCTGCTCGTCAAGATCGCCAACACTCCTATTTCAAGCATCATACACACGAAAAGCATCCAGAACGTGCCCGCGGCAAATCGGGCACTGCGGCTGCTCCACTCTCACAACCCTCGAACAAGTCATGCAGCACACCCTGTGGCCACACGGAATAAACACGGCCTTGCGCTTGCGATGCAGACACACCACACAGAGATCCTCAATCTGCACCTCCTCCCCCACCACCTCCTCCTCATCCGCATCCCCATTCAGATTCTCCAAGCTCCTTTCTATCTCTGACGGCAAAGTTGCTCCCCCTCCTCCTACTCTTGCTCCTACTCCTCCTGCTGCTCCTGCTCCTGCTCCTGCTCCTGCTCCTGCTCCTGCTCCTATTCTTCCTCCTGCTCTTGCTCCTGCTCCTGCTACTGCTGTTGCTGCTCCTGGTATTGTTGTTGCTGCTGCTCTTGCTGCTACCGCTGCTCGTTCTGCTCCTGCTCTAGCCGATTGCTGCAGAATCCTCATCCATCGCTCCAGCTCTGCCTGCTCCGCCTGCTGCTGCGCCTGCTGCCACCTGTCTCGCCGGCAACAATATTTCCTGGTTGGGCACGAGGGAGAGGAGCAAGGGTGGGAAGTGGAAGAGAGGAAACGAGAAGACATGAGATGACATGAGAGAAGATGAGATGAGACGATGAGAGGTGACGGGAGTGAGGTAGACGTGAAAGAACAATGAGCAGCAGTGGTAGCAAGAAGCAACACAATCCGTCACAGCAGAGTATCAACCCTGCCCAACTTGTTTGTAAAACACTCCTTTAGCAATGGGCAACAACAGCACACCTTCATACATAACCACCAGAGCAGCAGTGCTTATAGAACTTTTCTAATGAATGGGCAAATGACCTGTACTTCTCGCTTGCAATATGTCTGAAACCCTAAACCCAATGGCGGATGTAGCAGCGGCCAACAGCAGCATACCCCATCGCAATAACAGCACATATGAGCCTTACATTGCATTTCACCGCACTTGGCCTGGTCACACCCACCCGTACTCATGCACGTACCTCCACACCTCCACACAACTAGTCCAACGATGCCTGGCAGCAGCACAGCCCATCGCAACTGCAGCACATATGCGTATTACACTGCATGAGTCCAGCTTGACATGGACACACTCACCCATCCTCACGCACGTACCTCCACACAGCTAGTCCGATGGCGCCTGCAGCAGCGGCAGATAGCAGCAGAGCCCATGCCAACAGCACTCTCCATCGCAACAGAGGCACATATGAGGCTTATACTACGTGACTTTGAATTGGTCTGGAACACTCACACGTACGTACTCGTGCACTTACCTCACACAGCTAGTCCAATGGCGCCTGCTGCAGCGGCTGACAGCAGCAGAGCCCATGCGAATAGCACTCTCCATCGCTGGCTCAGCTTCTGAACCATGCCCGCCTTGGTTTCAGAGAAGCTGAAAGGACGCAGGGGGAACGGGGACAGGGGGAGGGTGGGGCAGGGGAGGAAGGCAAGCTGTACAATACAATGGGTGGGGGTGGGGGAGGGTACAGTACAATGGATGATACATAATACAAGCCCCTAAGAGAAAGGGATGCTACGCCACGGAAGCCACTCACAGGAAGTAGGGGAACTTTGGGGAAGCGAAGATGGCGGGGCGACCGTCGGATCCGCGCCTCACATGGCCGACAGCTGTCAGCTCGTGATTGATCAGCAGCACCCTCTCGTCCGTGCGCAGGCCCACCTGTCGAGAGAATGTATTTATCGAAAAGGTACAACCTGTTAGGTAGTCACTCATATACGAAATGCGCACATGGGAAAGGAAGTCTTGTCACAGGAAGTGGTTCATCCCACAACTTCAAGTAAAGAAGAAAGCACTTCCTACTGGAGGGGTGCTTTTACAGGAAGTGAAGAAACTCCTCTCCTCCAAGTAAAAGCAGCCCAGTTTGCACGTGAAGGAAAGGGTTGCTGCAAGGGCAGGACACATGTGCTTATTAGAGCTACGGGACGTCTCAAAACTTGGAGCTATAACACATGCATGGATGCATACTTTACTTTACGAAGCAAATTTCAGGGCCGAGCCACTAGAGGCTCGCAAGCCGGGCGGCTCTAGACAGGCTGGCTTTGCTCCCGCCCTTGCTCAGGCTTGATAGTGAGTGTACTCACCGGCAGGCGCTTCCCTTTAAGCACATGCATGATACGAAACAGTACACTCACCTGGAGGCGCTTCATTGTAAGAACATACCGGGCTTATCGAGAGTAACTTACTGGCAAGCGCTTCCCTATAAGCACGTGTAGGGCAGTGTCGGCCCATGAAGGGTCGGCCTTGTGCGTGTGACTGTACACGGTGTGCAGAGGCAGAGGCTGTGTGGCACCAACCAATGAGATGTCGACACGTGGCGCTGATGGATGGGAGGTCTCTACTAGAGAAAAAGGGACCTGTGGAGAGGCAAGGAGGGAGAGCCAGATGTGGGGGAGAGGATAAGAGCGAGGTGATATTGAGGGAAGAAGATTGGAAAAGATGTTGACAGAATTGAGCAAGAGTTGAGCAACTGCCCTTGTATATGAGTCAAGCACATCGTCGACGACAGAATCGTCAAGACAAGCGGGGCAGTGTTTTAGGCACCTCAAAATCTGAGCAAGAGCCATGGTGTAAGCATATCGATGACAGAATCGTGAAGAGAAGCGCGGTGGGGAGGAGAGAAGTAGCTTCGAGACGTGTCGTGTCCAGTCCAGACTAGAGAGGGATAGATTGGGGCAGAGACTGGGGCGTACAGATTGACGTACAGATTGCCGGACGGGGCTGAACTGATCTGACTTGATGATCCATCCTCTCAGCGGATGCAGCTCGGAATAGAGCATCTGATGCAAGAAGAAGCAGGAGGGAAATTTGCCCAAATGACAAAGATGTAAGGAAATGGATGAGAACGGATGAGAATGGGGAAGGGACGGGACGGGGCTTCACGATGGCTGCCTAGCAGCCGATGCAGCGCGGTCGGAAGGAACACAGCTTGGACGGTGGCATCACATTAGCAGCTTGGAAGAGAGCACCTAATGCCAAGAGGATCACAACAAGGTTGGAGGCAAAGGGAAAGGCTTTAAGAAAAATAGGATCGGACAAAAAAGCATGTGGAGTGGAAGGACCAAAACACACACACACACACGCACACACGCACGCACGCACGCACGCACGCACGCACGCACGCACGCACACACATACGAGATGCAGGGGAGCATAGGTGCAGGGAAAACTGTGGGAGAGAAAACCCCAATTTGAATGCACTGAAGGCTGAACTGGGCAATGAGGGACCTACTTTTGAAGCGCCAAAGTTAGGAGCCTGTTAAGATTAGGCTGTCATTTGTGCAAACGTATACCAACTAGACCCCCAATAGGCTAGGTATGGATTCGTTATCCCAGTGCTCTCCTGATTCCTCACCATGACAGATTGCTCCATGACAGCGCATGGCTGCTTGGCGCCATGCATCGGCAGAAGTGGGTTGCACGGCATGTGACCCACTTCTGCCGATGCATGGCGCCAAGCAACCCACTACCACTGATGTGCCTCAAAACTAGACTCACCACAGCAGATCTCTCCACCACAGCGCATGGGAGCTTGGCGCCTTGCACCGGCAGAAGGGGGTTGCACGGCCCGTATAATTTCGCCAAAGGGGAACTAAACCCGGACCTTGACTCCCCCACTACCACCAGGTACCCTTTGAAGGCC